TAACAAGAATGATAACTAATATGCATATCATATGAAAGTGGGACACGACCCTTGGCAGTAAATGTTATTGCCAAACAGAATTAATATAAACAGCGTGAACAATTCGCACATAAAATGTGCTCATAAGGGATTCGAGACAAAAGGTATGGCGTAACCATAATCATTAATTTAACTATTACTATTGACGTGTGCGGTATTGCGTACAACTTGAGAATTATTGTGTCTAAAGCTGTTTAAGTATTTATTTTTATAGGCAATAAACTCGTGAGAAGCTTTTGGTAGTAACCGTCTGTGAAAGGTTTGTTTACTTTGAATATGGACGCAAGGTCGACCAAAGGTATTACTCACACAGAATGGGTCGTAAATTTAGACCAAAACAGTAGAATATGAAAACCCCATCCAGTTTGTTGTCTTTGACTATGTCTCAAAGCTTTGGTGATGATCTGTTAACGAACTCTGCCCAGTAAACTAGCCACACTGACTCAATCAAACAGAAACAGAGCTATTTCGATTGTAAAAAAAAAGAAAACATGTATTACCTATGTCACGGTCTGTTTTAATGAACCAAGGTTTAATTTATTTGTTATTTCCTTTTTCATGTCTTTTTGCATATTGCATGTCTAAAATTTTAACATCTATTAATATAAAAAATATGACCTTCTGAACGACTCTAGGGTTACACCCGACAAAAAATACAAGCACAGGTTGTTCTGTTGGCGATAAAGTACTATTAAAAGTCATATTTTCTTAAAGAAAGACAGAAACGCCATATTTTAAAGAAAATAATAGTATTTCACAATAATACGGGCGTTCTAAAGCAATATGGTCTCTGGCATAAACATCGCCAATATATCTAAGACAGGTCTAAAGACAGGACCGGGGGCGGCCTACGCATCCTGGGAATAATAGTTGTAACGTTCGTTAGAATAATGGAATGGCCAACCATTTGGCAGTGTGCACACACAAGACACAAATTATAGAATTGCCTTCAGACCGGCAGAGATTAAATTGGCTTGTTGGGGAATAGGCTTTCATAAACTAGTAATTTATGATTTGTGAAATTATTGAAAATATCGTGCGAAGTATGTAGCATGTTATAATAGATTTGTTATAAAGAAAGATCGTTCGTGTGTTATTAGGTATGGTATCGTTACACCGTGTTTTGTTTTATTAAAACAATCGCGGTTCATTTCATAATTTATAAAATTTATTTTACATGACATTACTTCATATTTGCTTTTTTCTGACAAATTCTTAATTTTTATTTGCCCAGCCATAAAAATCATTTTTGAGAATAAATAAAATAAATGTAAATAAATAATAAGAAATATTTTAAGTCTTTCAAGGTTAGCTTTGTGTGCTTTAGTAGTGTAGTATGGATTGCTCACATTTCATTTTAATATTTTTGGGAGCTTAATAATATTGGTGCTTTTTGTTACTATTATTGATTATCATAGACCATATTTCGATGCATCAGCCTTTGCAGTCCATACCTGGACCGCACCCGGTATTTGTGAAAGTTACGATACACATATACCAGATTCATAACCTTGGCAATTTCAACATGTATTCAATCTTTGAAAAATTGTACATGTCTGTTTGGTACCCACAATCACAATGGTGATATAATACGACTTCCGATGGCGCCTGTAGCGGTATATTTATCGATCACAATGCGTTATAGTTACACAACGCGTATACTGTTTTAGCAGTTGATTGCAATCAACGCCGACGCTATGTAGGTGCGAAGTTAAGAGGAAGTATTGTATTTCAACTTATGTATATTTTGATATGAATTGGCATTATCACCTGATATTTTGATAGTTGTTTACACAGTCCGACTCAGGATTAGGAGTCAAAGAGGTCACCACTTTGTGTATGTTAACACAGTTACAATATACGAGTACTGGCATAGTAACTGACTACACGGATGGCGTAGTGGTTTAAGCGGTCGCCACGCCGCCTCCTACTACGCCGAGTGTTGTGGGTTCAAACCCCACATGGGACGACACTTTGTGTGATCCACAAATTGTTGTTCTGAGTCTGGGTGTTCTTTGTGTCCGTTTCATGTATGTTTGTAAAGTCCCCCGCGACACAGGATTTATTCCTAATGCGGGAGTTGTCTTTTTAAGAAAACGAAAACAAACAAACTGTGTTAACATACACGTGGATAGTAATCACATCAATCACATCAACAGCCTTTAACAGTCCACTGCTGGACATAAACCTCTCCTTGGAAAGGAGGATTGGTGGATAGTCATACATATTATCTATTCTGAATATAAAACACAATCGAACCGACTAATAATAAAAAAGTATAACCATATTTAAGTACTTAACAAAGCCTGCGAATGAAAAAACTTTTCAACGATAAGATAATATCTGATTATTCCGAACGGCTGATAAAATTTTGTCGAATTAAAGATACCCTCGGTCAAGTCACTTTTCAAGCAAAGTTTACTAAATGTAAATTGAATTTAGGACCCATGATGCTACAGATGGATACATCTTAAACTTAAAACGCCACATCTTTTTGGGTTTTGGATTAATTGACATCGTAATATTATTGTCAATTTTAAACAGTTGATCGCGGAAATAGTGACAGAACTGCACTATAACAATGGATTTTTTTCTCACATTAAGCCTGATTGATTTGTTTGACGATTGAGTGATTTCTCCATAAATTGATTCGTTGATTGATTGATTGTTTCTAAGAGAAGAATTTGAGTACGGTATTCATGATGCAGATTCATTTGATTATCATCACAATTCTAAATTAATTCAACGAAACAGATACAGATGTAACAATTATGTTAGGCCAGAGCTGGTCTGAAGCACTAAAATGTGGTCGCTGGTTCATAATAAAGTACGGGTAGGCAGCAAGTGAGTGATATTATTTATTTATTTAATTCTTTTTGCACAAATAACAATTGATTGTACAATGGCGGATTTAATGCCACGGGCATTTTCGCCCACTCTCTTCTCACTTTGGGTGGTGGACAAATGGTAAAACCGATGGCCAATTCAGGACACAGTTGTTCAAGAGTGGCTCATATACAGGGGCGGATCTTGAATTTGTGGGGCCCTGGGCTAATACTGCTTAGGGGCCCTACCTAATCGCCATTCCCAACCAATTGCCATTTTGTCAAAAAACTGTTTTCTGTAGTGATGTAGGTATACATATAATATATGTTAAGTACAGGAAGCAAATAGGAAACCAAATATTTTATTTAATTATTAAAACATTATTTATTGCTAAATAAATTGACAAGTTATGAATGGTTATGTTATATAAATTATAAAGCAACCTTTCAGCATTTTTGTTCTGCAATATTCTTTTATTTGGTCATCGCACTGTAAGTCCTTGGTTAAATCGCAATTTATGGAAAGAACTGGTAAATGATTTAGTCGATAGTTCGACATTGTTGTCATGTATTTGTTTTCTATATACGACATATTGGTTTGGGAAAACATCAACAAGTTTCTTTTCATAAATTAGCCAAAAAATTTCACTGCAAGAGGTGTAAGGCTGAAATTTATAAAGCGTACTTAGACCTTGCTCAGACTTACCTCACGAGTTAAGTGTGCGTTGAAATTTATAGTCATAATGCTTAGCTCGAGCTGAGCAAATGCTTAGCATAGTCTAAGTCACCAAAATCCATGACTTAGCGATTACTTACGATTAATATGCCAGAGTCAATGTGAAAAGATGGTTCGATTGTCCAGGAAGAAAAGCCGTAATCTAGTTCGAAAGCGCTGTAACAGAAGTCCGTAAGGGTGTGCCAGGGTCAAGATAAAAAGTTAATACAAGAAATTGATATATTTGCGAATGAACTCAAGACGAGACAACCTCAAATATTGTTATGACATTTGACAAGTCAAATATACGTACGTTTTGTTTTACTTGTACATGTGTTATTTTTGCCTTTTATCACTTAAAATCAATGAAAACTAAAGGTGTTAATTGATTGAAATACAATAATATGATAAAATTTATAAGATTACTAATATTTTAGGTTATTACAGCTATTTTAAAAATAATATATTTTTGAAATACCAAGAATTTAAATTAATATGCTATGCAAATCGAAACGTTTAAATTTTTTTCCTGAGATCTTGCTTAGCATACACTCAGTAAATTCTTAGCCCAAGAGGACTATAAATTCGAATGCTAAGATTACACTGAGCAGGAACTTAAGTAAGTTTAGCGTAAGCAAAGTCTGAGCAAAGTCTAAGTACGCTTTATAAATTTCAGCCTAAGACTCTGTCTTAGACTGCAGTAAGTAAGATTTTAACTGAATGCACTCATTCACTATATGCTCGTCTACGTCATTTGGATAATAATAAATAATATTACGTCCACTTTCCAGATCTATATGTTCTTAATTTTTGTCTTGCAAATCCATTAAATTTTATTTTTTTTGCTATATCTCATAGGCTTGGCTTCTATTATTTAAATATATATCGATAAGCGATAAGCGGAGGGAAGTCCCCAGTAATAGACAATACACGGAATACACCGACCGAAAACAAGCGACAGGGAATTCCCCGTTCCGTTTGATAGATGCGCACACGGGTGGATTGATCGCAGTGTTGCCAACCTTGTGATCGGTTTTTTTTTATTCTAGATAATTTTTATTGTTGACAATATCGTCTATTGTTTCCAGTTCGGTTGGGGGCCCTCTGTACCCACGGGGCCCTGGGCTGCAGCCCAAAAAGCCTTTAAGTAGATCCGCCCCTGCTCATATAAGACAGGACTGGGAGCGTGCGCCCTTGAAATGGTATGGTAAAGAAGGACTGCTATGTTAAAGGCCGGGTTCGATTTCCACCCAGGACTAATCTCGCCTCTATCTACGCCTATGGCGGGAAAAATGTGTGTGCATGTGTGAATGTGCGTGCGTGTGTATATGTGTAATTATTAATAAACATAAAATTAGGAACATGATGGTATTATTGATTTCTTAAAGTAAATATGTACTTATTTTTAATCTGTAACTCACCAGCGAAGCAGATCGCTGTTGCTTGTTGAGGTCATGTTGGCTTCGGGAGCGGTCCTCGCCGACGTCAGAGAACTGGCCAGATTTGCGATTACTGAGAACAAAAACAGCTTACATCAATATAAAGCTATATAAACGGATACCATATTTATAATTGATTAAAATAATGATTCTAACACGAAAATGTTGACTTTGAGTATATGGATAATGCAGTTAGTATTTTAATTAAGGTTCAAATTAAATTTATGCTGTAAAAAATCCTATTAATATACGAGTTATATTTTGTAAAACATGTCTAAATAACCGTCTAAGATCCGTGTGGTGACGGATTAACAATACAGAGTGTCACCACCCCTCTCCGTAAGGGAGAAAACTATGCAGAACAACAGCACTGCAGAGAGAAGGAAAACTTGACACAAACCCTATACAAACCCGTCTGGCCATCGTGGTATAGTAAGCCAAAAGTTCCTTTCTAAGGAGAGGCTTATGTCTAGCAGTGGACTATTAAAGACTGTTGATGTGATGTGATGTCTAAATAACAACACATAACACAATATATTGTGACTAGTTACAAAAACATGTTTAAATAAATTCAACCATCAAAGCGCCAAGGGCATAACAAACCGTTTATGTTGAAGTCATGTCGACTAAAACGCAATATCTACACGCAACCCGGCGATTATTCCTCCAACTTCTGACAATTGCTGGCCAACAGTTCTTGGAACAACATAAACGAGATTAACCAATAGCACAACCTCCCAAGAACCGAGTGTGACACCAGTGACACCAGTGACACCAGTGACACCATCGCGCGATCTTCCCTGACTTGGTCGGGTAATCCTACTGACCCACCAGCCTTACGAGACCGTCTGATGTTTTATACCAAATTTCACATAACATTACATCAACAGTATTTAATGGTTCACTGCTGGACATAGGCCTCTCTTTAGAAAGATGGTTTAAAACCTCCTTTCTACCATATATAAAAAACGCATTTTCTTTCTTTCTTTCGTGTTGTTGACAATACTTCCTTTTCGGTCATTTCTTTCTGTACCGTGTTCGAAGCCAAAAATAGAGCTCTGTGACGCCAGCAACGCAAAATCAGGAATTTGCATTTAAAAAATGGGTGACAATAATGAGTTTACAATTACTATGTATAGTAAGAAATTAATACGGAGAATACGGAGTGTACCACTACAATTCAACCTGTGGATGTCGTAAGAGCCGACTATGGGAGCAAACTACGCAAGACTACAACAGCACTACAAAGAGAAGGAAAACTTGACACAAACCCTATACCAACCTGTCTGGCCAGCGTGGTATAGTAGGCCAAAACCTCCTTTCTAAGGGGAGGCCTATGTCCAGCAGTGGACTATTTAAGGCTGATGATATGAAGTACAAGGAATTAAATATTAGATATAAAAACAAAGAAAGTGTTTATTGGAACAAAGCAAATGTACAAATCAGGTCTTCCAAAAGTTAAAATTGTATCGAAATGCCCAAAGCGCCTAAAGAAGTTTTCGCTTCCAAAAAGGAAACATTATTTATTTTATTTTTTAATCAATAATGTAAAATAATATTAGTATAAATGACGTAATTTAGACTTTATCGAACTGTACTTTAAGTGTCACGGAAACGAACACGAAAAATATAAAGTATCATAACATATCATATTTTTAACAAGCCGGTTATTTTACCTTGAAACCGTAACTCTAACGCTCCAAAGTCAGATATATGTTTAGAGAATGTGAGTTAGAACAAAGACAATATTAAGTTTCGCTATTATGTGCTAATATTATTTCCTGTTTCGTTATATAAATCGTATATATGAATATGTACGAGGAACGCTGTTTATACAGTAATTATATAAGTCAAGGGAAACGAGATCATGTTTATGCTTTGATTGGCAGACAGATTATGACTACGGACACCTCGTGCCTGTGCATATGATATACTCGCACTATTAGAAAATATCACTCATGTATGTCGAATGCAATGAGTCTGTATTTCTTAAGTGCATATAATATGTGTAAATAAGCGTGCTTTACACGATTTACATTTTGTGAGATTATCATGTCTTATGATTAATCTGATTGTTAATTGTGTGTATTAATTGTAAGTGAAAACTGTTTGTTTTTTAAATTTGGGTTCTGGTAAGGGGTTCATTATTTACGTGATTGGTTTTCGGCGATATTTCTGATCCCTGTCCCTAACTGATGACATGTCGTGAGATGTGTTAAAATGTGTTTTTAAAAATGTGTTTTTAGTGTAAAGGCTGGCTGTGGCGCGTAAACATCCGACGAGCTACTGTGGAACTTCACGGCACTCGCAATGCAATGCAAATTATTGTTGTATAAGACTTGGAAATATTTCCGTGGAGAAATATGTTTTATTTAATTTAACGCATTTTTCTCGCAATTTTACTGTTTCTTGCGAATAAAAAAATACGTGATACTTGCTGAGACGCCCCCTCTTCACAAAGTAAGATTAGATGAGATTCGGATCGACCACCTTCTCCCCTGAACGCCTCTCGGTTTTCTGTGAGGCGTTCAGGTTAGAAGGGCGTCCTTTTCACCACTTTAATTAAGAGTGTAGAAAAGAGTTTTTTATGCAACTAGACTTGACAATAAATTCGGTTCTAAAATTTAATTCTAGATTTAGGTATTAGTGTAATAAGTTCAAATGGTACTCTAGTTCATCATCATCATCATCATCATCAGCTTATAATAGTCCACTGCTGGAAATAGGCCTCTCCTTAGAAATGAGGTTCATATTAACATATAACTATTCTATTTTGTTTTCGTCAAACAACATATTCAAAAACAAAGTTTATGAATTGAATGTCATTTAAATTTAGGCCAACAAATATTCAAAACAACTTCGGATTAAAGAGTTAATATTATTTTCATATATTCAAAGTTATTTTAATTAAATCTCCTAAGCAAAGAATGATTTAAGATATTTTACGCTCTAGTTAACTTAAATGTTAATCTACACAAAAGTATATAACAACAGTATACTTATGATGACCGGATGGCGTAGTGGTTTGTGTAACGGACTGCCATTCCAAAGGTCGCGGATTCGACTCCCGCTCAAGTCAAAAATTTGTGTGCATGGATATTTAATGTTCGATTTGGTCTGGTTGTTTCTATGTATAATATGTATGTATTTACAAAAAAAAAGTATAAATGTATATATCAGTTGTCTAGTACCCATAGTATATGTATAGCTCTGCTTAGTTTGGGACTAGATGGCGTTGTGTGATTGTGGTACAATATTATTATAATTACTTAATGTAAATTGTTTAAATATCCTTTTTATACATATGTATAAGTTCCCCGTAATATTTTGTGTAAATATATATAGTCATAAATCAATCTTTGTTGAGAACTAATAATAAAGTAATTTCAATAATTTTTTAATATTGTTTTTCTATTCATACTAATAATATAAATGCGAAAGTGTGTCTGACTGTCTGTCTTTCTGTCTGTTACCTCTTCACATCATCAACAGCATTTAACAGTCCACTGCTGGACTTAGGCCTCTCCTTAGAAAGGAGGTTTTGGCCTACTATACCACGCTGGCTAGACGGGTTGATATAGGATTTGTTTCAAGTTTTCCTTCTCTTTGCAGTGCTGTTGTCTTGCGTAGTTTGCTCCCTTAGTCAGCTCTTACGACACCAGCGGGATGAATAGGGGTGGTGACATTCCGTATTCTTAATCTCTCATCACACGATTTAAATTAAATTAAGTTCGAACTTCCTTAAATTTAATTAAGTTGCCTGAAAGTCTGAACTGCGGCATATACTACTACTACTACTTTTTACATATAAATTACTAGCTGACTTAAATTTTGCGCCTCTCAAAATGAATATATTTTCCCCGATTATGCAACGATTTTCATTAATACTCAGCTCCTATTGGTCGTAGCGTGATGTTTTATAATCTATAGCCTTCCTCGATAAATGGGCTATCTGACACTAGAAGAATTTTTCAATTTGAACCAGTAGTTCCTGAGATTAGTGCGTTCTACCATACAAACTCTTTAGCTTTATAATTTTAATATAGATTTAGCAATGGCTATTTACCGACCTTATAATGCTATATTTTACTTAATACTATAATTACTGTCGTCAACATTTGTCCATGTGAATTTATTAACATAATAGGCACTTAATTTAAAACAATGTCAAATTTGTGAATTAATTTTAAGCTTTTAAGACGTTAATTCGTTCAACAGCACGGAATTAAGTTGCTAAACGCCCAGAGATAACAATACAATGAGACAATACCTTGTATTTTTAAGATATAATAAAACCAGTTAACTTGTTATGTATTCTAAAACGACAATGTGTATTGTGAGAACCTACTTGTTACTTTGGCGTTCTCACAAGTGACATTTATGACAACCAGCTTAGGTAATAGGTTTACGAATTATTACTAATTATACATATGCCGCTGAGAACACTGCGTCCTTTTCAACAACAATTCATGTGAAAGTGTTTATTGGCTCATAGAGAATCACATCACACATCACATCAACAGCCTTTACTAGTCCACTGCTGAACATAAGCCTCCTTAGGAAGGAGGTTTTGGCCTACTATACCACGCTGGCCAGACGGGTTGGTATAGGGTTTGTTGCCTACCGGGCTGGGTGTAATCTGTTACGCAGACGATACCCTCGTGACAGCCCGGGGGGCAAACTTCCAAGAGGCGGCGCGCCTGGCCACAGGGGGAGTCTCCCTGGTGGTCGGGCGCATTGAGGCGCTGGGCTTACGGGTGGCCCTAGATAAGACGGAGGCCCTGTTATTTCATGGGCCCCGTCGTGGTCCACCCCCTGGCGCCTCCATCGTGGTCAACTCGGTCCTCGTACCGGTTCGGGCCCAGATGAAATATCTGGGCCTGATCCTCGACGGGAGGTGGCTCTTCGACGAGCACTTCCGACAGCTTGCTCCAAAGCTGGTCGGCGCTGCGTCCGCCCTAGGGCGACTTCTGCCCAATATGGGTGGACCCAGCGTCGCGACAAGACGTCTGTACACGGGGGTTGTCCGGTCAATGGCACTGTACGGTGCACCGGTGTGGGCGGCGGCTCTGA